CAAGACTCATTCCATCAATCTACACGATTCTGGATTTTCCAAAAAATCTCATCTGCTTCTTTCCTTTTTAAAAAAATCTCTGAAAATGCAAAATTCAGAAGCAAACTTCAAGTTTAAGGGAGTTTATCACTGATTATACTCCCTTAAATGAAAATATTCTTTAATCAAATAGAACACTAAAGTGTTTGACTGTTGATGGATGGGCAGACAAGCAAAATGTTCTACGATTCAAGATCCAATATGTTTTCCAAAAATAGGGAGGAAATCTTGATATTTTTACATGATTTCAGCATAAAATCCTTAGTTATGAATAATATAATTAAGACTATAGGATAAAAACTGCAAATTCAGAGTAAAAACGCTTTTGAATCCGCACAATTCGGTGAACTGAAGTCCATTCCATTCCAGCCATGCACGGTTGCAGATTTTCCAAAAATAAAAAAACACTCATAATTCAGAATTTAGAAGCATAAATTAGATTTTAGAGGTTGGGTATGTTTGTGCTATACATGAAGATTGTCTACATCCTTTCAAAAGCTGAAAACTAAGTAATGTTTTTGGTGATCTAAGTGTTAGCTCTGAACAAATAGAACACTCAATAGACCTTGGTAACACTTGAAAGTCTCAAAAGTACTAAAGTGTTGGACTCTTGGCTTATGGTCCATCAAGAAGAAAGGCAATATTGTAATATTTTCAATAATTCATATCTTATTATTTATGTACGGGGGTGGATGCAGGGGTAATAATAATAATAACAATAGTTTATTATTTGTATTGCGCAATTTAACATGTTAATATGACCAACTGCGCATTACATATAGGTACACTAAAATACTAGGCATAAAATCTCTAAAAAACTACGAAAAGAGTATATAAAAGATTTGATAACTAATGTCCAGTTTAGACGTCGAATCCCGCACGCGCCGAATCCAATGCAGACAAACCAAACATTAGTTTGTCCACTAGACCCGGCACGCACGAAATTCCATGTCCAAACCGTTAAAAGCTAGCCTAAAAAGGTGGGTCTTTAACAACGTCTTGAATCTATTAAAATGTCTCTCGTTACGTATCTCTTGAGGTAAATTGTTCCATAACTTTGGAGTAGCCGCCGAAAAAGCACGGTCTCCTAGTGTCTTTTGGTCAAAAAGCTTGGCTGCTGCAAAAGCAAAACCTTTAGAAGATCTAAGATTATAAGAATTGTTGTCC